AGTATAGAGAAATGTCTGCTATATACAGGTTAGTATAGAGAAATGTCTGCTATAAACAGGTTAGTATAGAGAAATGTCTTCTGTATACACAGGTTAGTATGAGAATGTCTGCTATATACAGGTTAGTATAGAGAAATGTCTGCTGTATACACATGTTTGTATAGAGAAATGTTTGCTATATACAGGTTAGTGTATATAAATGTCTGCTGTACACACAGGTTAGTATAGAGAAATGTCTGCTGTATACACAGGTAAGTGTAGAGAAATGTCTGCTATATACAGGTTAGTATAGAGAAATGTCTGCTGTATACACAGGTTAGTATGAGAATGTCTGCTATATACAGGTTAGTGTAGATAAATGTCTGCTGTATATACAGGTTAGTATGAGAAATGTCTGCTATGTACAGGTTAGTATAGAGAAATGTCTGCTGTATATACGGGTTAATACAGAGAAGGATCAGCAAGTAACGATCTCATGCATTGTAATGAGAAAATACATCATTAATCTTCTTTCTCCGCGCGTTCAAATCATTAGTCTTTTATATGTAGCTATCTATTTATCTATCTTTGTATCTAAATCTCAGCTTATACAAGTATCTATCTATCTAGATAGGGACCTTTACGCTTCTATCTATCCATGCATTTAACAGACATTTAAAGAATCTAAATTTTTTGAAGGGGTAAAAAAAATGTGGGGTTTTCTTTATGAAGCTATTGATAAAAGATCAACTAAATCAAGTAAGATTTCTATGATTAAATCTAAAGGTTTGTCAATAGCTGAGCTATCTAAAATTGCTGATACATTTAACAGTTTTTTTTCCGAAATTGCATATGAAATAAGATCTCAAATACCGGATACGTCTGCTAAACCAGAAGATTATTTAGAGGATTTAGATTCTAATTTTGAGTTTTTTCCAACAAATCCATTAGAGGTTTCAGAAATAATCTCGTCACTCAATCGTAAAAATACTCTGGATATTGATTGTATAAGTACTGTTTTGATAAAAGCCGTATCAACTGAGATTTCTGAACCTCTGTCTCATATCTTTAATCTATCCTCTTTTGTACTTGCCCGATTCCGATTTATGCTTTTAACAATAATGAAATAGTGGTCGATCTTGTTGATCATAAAATTCTACTTACCAAATTAAAGAAAATAGGAGTTACGAATGTTAATTTAAAGTGGTTTGTAAACTATCTTAAAGATAGAAGGCAATATGTTATGGTTAATGATGTTTATCCAGTTTTTCACCACCTTGAATATTTCTGTTCCCTAGGGATCAATTTTAGGACCACTACTTTTCTTGATCTTTATAAATGATATGTTTAAAAGCAAGGCCCTGCTTAACTTTCTCTTTGCTGACGATACAACTGCTTTAAAAAAAGGTACAAGCATTTTTGAACTTGGAAACTTTGTAAATCTTGAGCTTCAGAAACTGGGAATGTGGCTGAGAGCCAATAAACTTGCAATTAATACTACCAAGACGAAAATTATAGTCTTTCATCCTAAGCAAAAAAAAGTTGAAGATTTTCAGTTTATTTTTAATTGCAATGATTTGAATTCTTTTCCCGATCCCAGATTTATTTTCCCTATTGAAAGGATTAATAACAGTTCAAGGGTTCCGGCTTTTAAAATGCTTGGCGTTTTTCTCGATGAAAATCTTAATTTTGAATATCATATTAAGCAAACTAGAAACAAGATATCTAAGGCGTTATTCCCGATTAGTAAAGCTAAGCATTTATTGTTGTCTTCTGCCTTAAAGTCTCTCTATTATGCTCTAGTTCATGTCCTCTTTTTATATACTGCCTTCCAATCTACTGGTCTGCCTCATTAAATCTTTAAACCCGTTATTTCTTTTGCAAAAAAAATGTGTCAGAATTCTCTCGAAATCTAAACTCAACGCTCATACTGAGATATTGTTTTACTCTACTCAGATATTACCCTTTCATGATTTAATCCTTCAGCAGAAACTTATGTTAATGCATTCAATTGATAAAAATTATAGTCCATGGTGTCTTTTGGATTTTTTTTTGTGAAGAACTCTGTATTGACTGTGAATCTGTATAATTTAAGAAACTTTGATGAATATTTTATCCCAAGAGTTGATAATGAATCTTTACGTCGATTTCCTTTCTTTGATTTGCCTAAATCCTGAAATATCAAGTATTACTAATAAACTTTCTTTTAAATCTACGCTTAAAAATCATTTTCTGTCAAAGAGTGAAAATTTTATTTGTAGCAAACTATTTTGCTGGTCCTGCTCTATTTGATCGTCATTTTTAACGGCATACACATAATTTTTCTCTCTATGACAATGGATTTTTAAGTCAAGCAATTTGCATTTTTTAAATCCTTCATTAAAAATCAGTGCTCTGGCATTGCTTTTTTTGGAAAAGGTATTGTTAATGGGTGGAACTTAAACTTTTGCTATTTTTTTTAGAAGCGCAAAAAGATTAGGAAATAGGAGCATGTTAATTAAGCAAATCTGACCCTGTTCCTCCGTCATCTCGCAACCCAGTCCCACGACGTATCACATCAGTTCAGTTCTAATAAACACCACGGTAAACTGCCAGGAGACCAACCTGAAAACAGCCCTGCTATGGCTGCTCTCCTTCCGTTGAGAATCAATAGAAAACATATGTTTAGTTTTATCGGTCAATCTGTCATATTTTCAACAGAGAAATAAATTATTAGATTAGATTAGATTAGATTAGATTGGGAGTGAGTCCGTCCTATTTGTTTCTTGAAGGTAACTGCTCCCTTATTAGAAACTATAACCTCAATTTTTTAAACAAACTAAGTCGTTCTTACCGCAGGTTAAGAATATCCACGATTAGATTTTGTCAGTAAACTCGTGTTTTGTGCAGTTCAATATTTTTGAATAAATTTACGGTTTTGATAAATTCATATATTTCATTTTCATAATACACTTTAAGCTAATATATATGTATATTATATATATATACTAAATGCAAGAAAAATAAATGTATTATGTGAAACTGAAAACAATTATTAAAAATGCTTCAAACAGCATATTGGCATAACGATTCATTTGCTAAAATCTTTACATCTAAATCTAAATACAGTGGTAGACGATTATATCAATACAATGAAGACGACTTTCAATTTCAATTTTGACTTATATCAAGCTTTTAAACATCACGGATACACCTAAGCAATAGACTTCAAGAGAAGCTTTCAGTTAAAAAAGAATCTCTTTGATTACTTGTAACATTGTAATTTGAAAAAAGCTTGTTAACAATAAAAACGTAAATAAAAATTGTATTGATATAATTGTTTACCACTGTATAAATAAATATTTATAAAATGTAATTAAATTCAAACAATAACAGTTAGTAAAGTAGATTTTTCTAAATCATTAAATATCAATTAAATATTTTTTAAATGCATACAATAATACAAATTGTCATTAAAGCGAAACAAAACTGAAACAAATGTCAACACATGTTGTCAAAATAAATTGATAAAATATTTTTAGACTTTAAACAACATTTTACTAAATAATTCTTTCTTTTTAGTTTACACTTTTTAAAGGATCCATGGGCATGTTTGCTTTGCAGTCCTTCAATTCCAAGGTTGTATAACAAGGTTAGTTAAACTCTCGATGCGCTCCTATGTACGGAAAATGTCGTCTCTTAAGACGGATAGGTAAATACCCAATATGACGTCACTCTCGCCTCTATGATCAGTGACGTCATATTGGGTATTTGTATATCTATCTTAGGAGACGACATTTTCCGTACATTGAAGCGCATCTAGAGTAACTAACCTTATTATACAAACTTGCTCTATTTTCTAGTTCTACTGTAAACACTGTTTAATAATATCCAGTACTCTATGATCTCTGTACGCGATTAATCCTTGATGAAGAGCTGTACCCTCCTCTGCCCCTCTGCAGTACTGTACATCCTAGAGTACACAATACGTTACCCCTTCATATTTTTATTATCAATTCATGCGGTTTACTTTCTAATCAATAAGGTTTCCATTAAAAAATATATTTCAAATCTTATTGAGCTAATGTCTTTAAACAACAGACTCTTATAATGCCGAAAAAAAAGTTGTTGAAACTATGTCAAAATGTTAATAAGAACCTCCTTGAAAAAAGAAATTCCATAAATTATGTCAAAATGTAAATAAAAACCATCTTGAAAAGCTGATTCCAGAATCTAGATAAACAGCAACAAAGAAAATATATTATGATATTGATAAAGCTGAATCCAAAAAGTAAGAATATTGGCATATAATCATGAACAAAAACATTTGTTCGACTTAAACCTATTTTAAAAATGGTCACTGCAGTTAATCAAAAATATTCTGATAAAATTAAACCAGTTTTCATCGTGGGCCCAAATTTTGTGTGGGACCTCACATGACCCCAGGTAAGGTTTATGGAAGCTCTAAATTACAAAACTTTGTGTCAAAAAGTTTTTGATTTTTTTAAAACTTTGAAAATGCGCGAAAAATATTGTTAAATTCGCGAACTTATTTGTTCATGTTTTATATTGTATATATAAGATATATGTATAAGAAAAGATGCTCACAGATAGAGCCACAATTAATAGTTGAAATAAAAGATGGGCGCACTCCAGTTCTTTATGACGAAACAAAAGTTTTATCACTAAAGATAATCGAAACAGTCCAAGCACATGTTTATATTTGAAATTAATACTTAAAGAGCTACAAAAAGTTCGAAATATTTTTTAAATGTTTCACCTGAAAATTTTGGAAAGAAACAACCCCTCCTCCAACCCCAGCTAGTAGAGCATGTACAGCACAGGTATCCCAAACATAAACTGTACAGTGTAAATCAACTATATATCTACTGTACAACCCCTCCTCTAACCCCAGCCAGTAGAACATGTACAGCACAGATATCCCAAACATAAACTGTACAGTGTGAATCAACTATATATCTACTGTACAACCCCTCCTCCAACCCCAGCCAGTAGAGCATGTACAGTACAGGTATCCCAAACATAAACTGTACAGTGTAAATCAACTATATATCTACTGTACAACCCCTCCTCCAACCCCAGCCAGTAGAGCATGTACAGCACAGGTATCCCAAACATAAACTGTACAGTGTAAATTAACTATATATCTACTGTACAACCCCTCCTCCAACCCCACTTAGTAGAGCATGTACAGCACAGGTATCGCAAACATAAACTGTACAGTGTAAATTGACTATATATCTACTGTACAACCCATCCTCCTGCTCCTACCAATAGAGCGTACAGCACAGATATCCCGGACATAAACTGTACAGTGTACATTAAAGCTATATATCTACTGTAAAAAGTACAACCCCTCCTTATACTCCTACCAGTAGAGCATTTACAGCACATGTATCCCAGAAATAAACTGTACAGTGTCCATTAGATATATATCTATTGTACAGTGTACAACCTCTCCTCCAGTCCCAGCTAGTAGAGCATGTACAGCACAAGTATCCATTGTACAACCCCGCATACTTATTCTACCATTAGAGCATGTACAGCACAGGCATCCCAGACATAAACTGTACAGTGTACATGAACTTTATATATCAACTGTATAGCCCCATTAATGGTACATAATCTTATTTAACTTCTGTAGAAATTAATAACTAATATCTAGTTTTATTATGAATAAAATTATACGTTGTACTGTGCAGAATGCACCCACTTTTATAAATCAACAGTGTAATTTTATCTTTTTTTCGATATCACGTGAAGTGCAGAAATTGAACAGTTAATCAGAAGCACAGGAGTTTTGCGCTAAACCAATGAGAGAACATAGAAAGCAGGGATATTAAGAGATCAAACATTTTCTCCGTAAAATTCAAAAGTGCCTACTGTGAATATCGAGATCATGCGATCGGGATTAAAAGTTTCCAGTTCAGGCTAACCAAATATAATACGAACTGCACACACTATACACATACTTGTACATTGTACAATATGTTATGAAATCATATGGTTTTATTACAACTCTCTTTGTTTTATGACTTCTGATTTTAAAATCTACGAAAGTATATGCACCCCAAAAAGAAAAACTCGGCTCTGATACCTGAAGGGGATGAATTTATGTACAGATCTGCGGTACCAATCAGAACCATCATAAGTTTATTTCCTGCACCACCAGCAGATATTATCTAAAAATAATAAAATATAATAAAAAAGTTTTTAAAAAACCACCGCGAATAAATTCTGGCAAAAATGGCGTTCTTTTTTTCCTTTCACTTAAAACCATCGCTAAGGATATAAAATACGATTATCTTTAAAATGTTCAGTGAATTTTTTTTAGAAATAATTGGGTTTGAAAATTACAAAATTCTTATCGACATTTCAATATCTATATATATTATATATACTTTGCTTGTTTGTCTTTTTGTTTGTTTGTAACCGATAAAAGCCAAAAGGGCTGAACCGAACATTTTTGTGGGACCTCAGAACCCCAGAGAAATCTATCAAAATTGGAAGAAATAAATTTCTGAAAAATAGTTTTTTTTAAATGCGCCAATTCGAAAATTAAAATCCGCAAAAAATTGAAAATGATTTTAAATGGCTGACTTTTAGAATAAGAGTTATAAGCTGAAATTATTTAAAGAAAAGCCTAAAAGCCTAGTTAGAATAAAATAAAAGTTATAAGATAAGATTTTAGAAAAACCATTTTAACTCGTTAATAATGACAATAATTTTTTAAGAAGTTCTTAAAATAATGTTGAAAGTATGTATATTAAGAAATTTTTGACTTCGCTATTGATATTTTTATATTATTGCTCTTCGTTTAGAACCTTTTTCTCAACTTAAGAATACGAGGAGTTTAAGTGGAATAAATCGATCTAATCCAAAAAGAAACCCTATGCCGACCCGAGAGCATCCAAATATCTTTTAACTTTACCGTTACTCGGTTTTCTAAAAAATGATCCATCCATACTGTACCATATTCATAAGTTTCAAAACCGGTTTTCTTCACTACACCCAATATTGGTAAAGTTTCTTTATTTTGATGCGCATAAAACAATAAACAGTTACCTCAAACCTAGGTTTAAGCTTCTCCAATATTTCCGAGCTTTCTGACGAACCCACCACCAGGACGGGACGGGTCAGGTTTAGCTCAAGGTTGGGATGGAGTAGAGGACCTGGAGGATCCAGGAGTAAAGGTTGACCGGGCTGGGTGGATCCAAATACGAGGTGACAGGTTGCACTAGAAAGTAAACCGGAAAATAAAGAGAGCAACAACGGGGTTAATCGAATTTTCTTTAGTTAATGAATAACTCGATAATAAATCTCAAAAATAGAGTTTAAGTCTGTTGAACTTTCAATCATTGGGTTATATACTGATAACGAGTTATAAATATTTAAGTAAAATACAGAAATTTGGACAAATTTGTTAATATTTCTGTCCCATTTTAAGGCAGAGAGAAAACGTCTCTGGGAACGACTACTATTCTTTAAGAGTATTATATCCAAGGAGTATATAGAATAGTATAGGGAGATACAACTGACGCGGTTCGCCCTACCATATGATTATACATGCTTTGCAGACGGTACTTCATTTGTATAAGAAATATTCAGAATAGGTTATTGTATACGTTATTGTACATCAGACAAATATTTCTTATACAAATGAAGTACCGTCTGCAAAGCATGTATAATCATATGGTAGGGCGGGCTACGTCAGTTGTATCTCCGTTTTATTCCATACTCCTTAATTATATCACAATATCGTATTTCTACTTATTCAAGGATAAGACTATAAAGACGACCTAAAACTATTTAACTAGGACAATTCCAAGGTTGAAAAAAATCTTAAATATTTCGTCTTTTATGGCATTTTTAATGATTTGGCATAGAAATAAACAAGATTACAATTAAAGGAATCATACCTGAAAGGTGACCCGACAACCCCAAACATAGGCGCACCAGTTGTACAATTGTACACACCTACAAAGTATAACATGGCTTGAAACCAACATAACTAACATAAGGTACGTTTAGGAAACTTGAAATAAAAGTCATTATGATTAATGGTGTCCAATTACTCAATTAGTAAGATTTATAAAGTGTGAATCTAAATGTTTGGCAGATTTACCTCCTATTTCTTATAAATAGATCATGGAATAATAATATAGATATATAAATAGTATTCTATTTAAACATTTCCATACTGCAGAAATACAGAAATAGAATATAAAGAAGAAAGATACATTAATAAGGGGAGTTAAATCTGCTCTGCATAAATCATGTTTTACACAGATTCGTAGTTCAATGATATTTTTTATTTAATTTTTACCTATCAGAACTTTCGCCACCTAGAAAACAAAAAAAAAGTATTTTAATATCAGAAAATCGAATATCTGAAAATGAAAAACTCTCATAAATTCAACGAAAGAAGTTCAATATATTTAATTTAAAAATTTGACAGAAAAGAAAAAAATGAATAATTCCGAATTATTACCTCTAGCCCAGAAACAGGATATCCATTCCATAGTTTCTCCTTACCCTAAGTATGATTCAGTGGTAGGCTATTATACCAATACAATGAAGACGACTTTCGAATTATATATTGATTTATATCAGCATGGATAAACTTAAACATAGAAGACAAGAGCTGTAGATTAAAAAGCTTCTCTATGATAACTTGTAAACTTTAATTCGAAAAAAGCTTGTTAACAATCTAATCAAAAACTAAAAATCGTCTTCATTGTATTGTTATAGTTGCCTACCACTGTAGTTCTAAATGAAAAAATATAATTAAAGGGAACGTTCACAGATTTTGAACAGGGGTACAGACTACAGAGCATTCTGCAGCAGAGCCTGGCATTGTTACAACAGCTGTATACTAAAGGGTATCCAACGAAACATGACAGTAGCAAGTCGACTTGGAAAACGTTTTTGAACTTTTAAATTATTTATGACATTCAGTCGTCAACCTACTTTCACATTTATGATTAACTTACAAAATAAAATCAAAATTGTCCAAATCTGAAAAAAACTTCTTGATAACAACATGTAATGTTGGAAATGCCATGTATTTTGTGATTATTAACTTTAGAATTTTACTTCTAAAATTAGGTTTAAAAATAAATTTCAAAGATCTAAGACGACCTTCAATTCGTCTTGCAGTGTCATCGTGGGACACCCTGTAGCTATGGCAATCATTAGGTATAGCAGTTGTACCTTTACCTTAATATAGTGTGAAGTTCCATCAATGGGATCTATCCAAACACCAACATCGGAGATATCCAACTCTAGAAATTATGTTTCTTTTTGTGGATAATTTTACATTTGCTTATTACTCGGAGTTGGCAATTTATGAATGAAAAAAAGAGTTGAACTCGTATACTATTGGTTAAACTAATTTATCTGTGAGGCAGTTCAGAAATTCCATTGAAACAAAAGTTGTAAAATTTCTGGAAATTCTCTCGGTTCTTATGACAAATGTAAAATTAAATTGATTTTTTAAATCTGAACAGGCAGTTAACCCCCTGGTTCAAAACTTGCAATTGGACCGCGCACATAAATTTCGACTTTAATATTGTTTTGTTATGGTAATATATCACTTATAATCAATTGATCACTTAATCTATTTTTGTAATAAATGTTTTAGCATTTTTTAATATTTTATTTAAGATTATTCTAAAAATCAACCTGTAGTTTCAAGATCTTCTACTTGGGTTTTTAGATCTTCAGATAGCTCTACTGCTTTGTGTACTTCAGTGGCAAGGATTTCAGCTACTTTCTACAGTACAATAATTCATAATCATATAGTTTCACAGTTCTGTGTACTTCCGTGGCAAGGATTTCAGCTACTTTCTACAGTACAATAGTTCATATGTTTCACAGTTCTGTGTATTTCAGTAGCAAGGATTTCAGCTACTTTCTACAGTACAATAGTTCATATTTTTCACAGTTCATGTGTACTTCAGTAGCAAGGATTTCAGATACTTCCTACAGTACAATAGTACAAATATGTAAATTCTAGTTTTTGTATTTTTACTGTGCTGTGTTTTTCATCTAATAGAAGTACTAATAGTTTGTTGCACTTGAATTTTTACTGTTTTGTGTACTTTAGTTGCTGAGAATTCAGTTACTTTCAGCACAAGAGTACACTGAGTTCTTGTACTTGAATTTTTACTGTCAAATGGAAAATAATTCCATTAATTACTACATGTACAATAATACATACAGTTCCACTGCGTATTATCTGCATATAGTTTATTCGATTTACTATATATATATATACAACGAGCTTGGGAACCCAGCGCTGCCCAGGTTACTAAAAGTTACTTCCGTCGTTTACCCGCACTTGAAAGATTTTACCGGGAACTAAATTTTCGCTATTAAAGTCGACCCACTCAACTTAAAATCTCAAAACCAACCTAAGAACATTCCCGTTGGTCTCCCGATTTCCCCAATCAAAATTTGAGGCAAATCGATCCAAGGGTTCCGTTATGATCGAACAAACAGAGAATACGACTTTATATGTAGAGATTCTATGTTTCTGTATAATTAGTTTTCTAAGAATTGTAATTATAATGCATTGAGCGTGTTAGAAAAATGTTTACCTCGTTTCCGTCCAAAATCTGTACAAGGGTGTTTCTGAAGGATAAACAACATTACACCCATTGTAATTGATTAGCAATGAATTTAGAATTTTTGCAATATTTTTGAAAAAATAAAACAAACGATTTTTCTTAATGCGAACCATTAAATTTAACGATCTTATCAGAATAACTGAAATTGGCACTTTATAAACATACGATTCTTTGCATTCCTTAATATTTACAGACAAAAAGGATGGTGTAATTGAAAAAAAGAGCCGAATCTATTTTAAAACTGTTATCATACAAATATTTGTCAATTGTGCAACTGTAAAAATGGTCAAACTGTGTCAACTGTGCAACTGTAAAGAAAATGGCCGACTAGACAATTGTACAGAAAATGGGCGGCTGGAGAATTGTAAAAAAAAATGGCCGACCTAAATATTGTACAGAAAATGGCCGACTGATCAATTAAAAAGAAAATGGCCGACTGAATATTTGTAAAAAATGGGGGACTGGAAAATTGTAAAAAAAATGGCCGACTGGACCATTGTAAGAAAAAATGGCCGACCTAAATTTTGTCAGAAAATGGCCGACTGAACAATTGAAAAGAAAATGGCCGACTCAATATTTGTAAAAAAAAGGGCCGAATGGAAAATTGTAAAAGGAAATGGCCGACCTAAAAATTGTACAGAAAATGGCCGAATAAACAATTGAAAAGAAAATGACCGACTGAACAATAAAAAAGAAAATGGCCGACTGAAAATTTGTAAAACAAAAAATGGCCGACTGACCTCGTGTTTTGGTGGGAAGAGTTAAGATTAAGGTTAACTGTAACACCAGAGGAATTGGTGAACGAGGCAGATTCCTCACCATAGATTCTTTCCCTGGATATAAAAAAAATAAAATATTTTCTTTCAAACAAAAAACTTTAGCTACATTTGTAACTAAAAGACGACTTTTATTCCACTTTATACTGATTATTGGTGGTAAAGATGATAACGCTAACGAAAGATTATTAAAATGAGTAAATATTAAATGATAACAATTACAATGATGATAATGATAACGTGTTAAAATTACTTTAGAACCGGAGAGAAGAGACCTAGTTCAAACCTCACAGATTCCTAAAAAAAATACAGTGATAACCAGAAAACTACGGAATAGGAAGACTAAATTATAGCAATGTTGAAGTGTAATTATGCTGGTTACAGAGCAAATAGTTTTACTAAACACTTCTTAAATCACTAATATAATGAAATAGGTCTTCTTACACTGCACAATTGCCGTTTCTCATGCTTATTAGATTTTTATAAGTTATAACTTCTATAAGTCGTCTTCCTATTTCAGAGTTTTCTGGTTATCACTGTAGATTCAGAAGAAAAATAAGTTTAGATGAGTGTTTTAAGCACATTTGATTCAAAGATAACAATTTTTTGATGCTTAAGATTTTTATAAAAAAAAATCAATTTAATTGTGTAAAACTAGAATGTTATAGTTTGTTTTCTGTTCAAAAATATATTTTTATGGTCAAACTAAATTTGGTTGAAAAAACTTCTTATGTTAAAACAAGTTCAAAAAAAAAATTAGAATCCTGATTTAAAAAAAAAAAAAAAACACGCATCCCTAGATATTTCCTCTAAAACAATAAAATCAGTAAGAAATTATTAATACCTGAATTAAAACATCTGCTAACGTTTTGAAATCATGTTCGAATTTTGCATTTTTTTCCCCCTCCACCTTTTCCTGGTAACATCAGTAAAACATATAGGGTTAACAGGATTTAATGTTACCTCAATTATTTTATAATAACAATAAAGAAGACATTTTAAAACGATTTATTTAATGACACAGCTATATAACCTTTAAACAAGCCGTAATAAGGGCTTCAGCAAACGCTCTCATTTTAATTAAAACTTGAAAAATCTGAAATTTAAAAAATTCATCAACAATTCACGGTAAAAAGTAATTCTAAAGTCTCAAATTTTTAAGGATAATATCAATACTTCATACTTAAATTGAGTCATTTTCGGCAAAACAATTGTCATTGGTATTGGTATATTCATGTATAGGGCTTCTCATTAATCAATGCTGACAACAATATTCCTAATTGTAATTGAAAAAAAGAGCCGAATCTATTTTCAAACTGTTATCATACAAATATTTGTCAATTGTGCAACTGTAAAAATGGTCAAACTGTGTCAACTGTGCAAGTATGGATAAACTTAAACATAGAAGACAAGAGCTGTAGATTAAAAAGCTTCTCTATGATAACTTGTAAACTTAAATTCGAAAAAAGCTTGTTAACAATCTAATCAAAAACTAAAAATCGTCTTCATTGTATTGTTATAGTTGCCTAC